TGGTAAGAGGAACCGAATCCTCAATTTCTAGCTTGAACCTGATCTCCTTTTCGCCTCCCTCGACCTTTTCTTAGCCTTTGCCATCATCCTCGAAGTCATCTGAGTACACGTAGGTCATTCCTTGGGCTTCGACCTTCATTCTCTCGACTTCCTTTTGATAAGCTCACGAAAGGAAAGAAAAGTCGATCGAGAGGTGAGCCTCCCATAGCTTCTACACAAGGAAGATTGACGTCTGCCAGGACTGAATAGTGATGACCTTGCTTAACTCTTCAATTTGAAGTATGAGTTCCCCGATATCAGCTTCGGCCTTCCGTTGACCTTCCGCCTCCTAGGAAAGGTTGAGTGAGGATTGCTTAAATTTGGTTTCTCAGTCTGAGGCAATCTTTCGGGCTGAGGAAAGCTTGGAGTTTAACTTGTTATTGACACCACGCTACTGCGCCAAGTTTTTCTCAGCCTCAATTGCCTCGGTTATAGCTTTGGCTCGCGTGGACTCACTCACGTTAAACTTGTCAAGGAACTCCTTTTCCTTGACCCCAAAGGCCGCCACTTCCTCACTGAGTCGTTTGAGCTCGACCTATTTAATTAGCTTCTTTCTCTTTCTCTACAATCTCAGCCCTAGTCAAAGCATCCTCCTTCATTGTCTCCCCAACATCCACCCCTTGTGAGTGCCCTCCAAGGTGGCATTGCACTCCTCGTATAGAAGCCTGCTTGCCATGGCGACCTAAAAAGGTCAGATGAAAAGTCAGCAAGTGGCGAAGATAGCATGCAAATAAAAGAGGGGTGAACTACCGGTACCTTCGTCGCATAGCTAGACGTTAAAACCAACATCTAAGTGGGGGACGAGTCCCTGACAGCCGCGAATGTTCACGGGGTGATGCAATCCTTGGCCATTGCGACCCCTATATCGATATGGTCAAGGAGTTGATCGATTAGTACATCGACTGTAACTTGGGTCGTTCCGTCTGTTTTCTTACTCTTCGATTGGGACAAGCTAGATTTGCTTCCCCCAGCACCACTTGCCTCGCCCACAGAAGCAGACTTCTTCTTGGTCAATTCGTTGGTCGTCAGCCTGCACGACGACCTCCTTGCCCAAGCCAACTTGTTGCTCGGCTACTTTTTGTTTGCCTGAGCCCTCTAGAGGCTTGGTCGTCTTCTTTTTGCCCAAGCTATCATGCTACTCGGATGCCTTTTGCTTTCCTGAACTCCTAGTTAGCTCGGGTGTTTTCTTCACCAGCCCCTTTTGGGGCTCGGAGGCATTCTTCCCACCAATTACCTTTGGAGCAATCACAGGCTTTTTCACGCTTGGGCCTCTCCCAAGCTCGCCACCGGCACGTTTCATGCTAGCAGTGTCAGCAAGCTACTTTGTTGCCAAAGCAGCTAATGCCATCTTGGCAGTTGCCGAGGTTGTCATTTTCTTTTTAAGGCCTTTCAGTTTCTTGGCCCACATCTTTGCAAGAAAGAAAGCAAATAGTGAGCAACCTATTTACACAGGAAAATAAACGCGAGCAATTTGTAACTTAAACCTATTTTCCAAAATTGTAAGGAATCTGGCCTTGTCCCGAAAAAAGCTGTATGATTTTAGGTAAGGAAGCTTGAGAAGCTTGTTGACGTTACACTGATCATCGGGAAGGTCACTGAAATGCTATAGCCTCTGCCAGCTCGTGGTAGGAAGATAATTCTGCTCGACGTTAACTACAAAAAAAAAAAACAACTCGGTTAGCTCAGATACAAAGCTCGAAAGTGACCCTCGTGCATGCGGGGAATCAAAGTTTTACTCGCATCCGAAGCGAAAGTGCGGGTCTCCCGGGCTTCGTAGAAGAAAAACTAAGAGTCCTAGTGTGAGACCTTCTTCGGGACGTCGACCAACCCGTTGAAACATACCTTTCTTGCCTTGGAACAGTAGTATGTCTGGTCTTACCCTTTCTTGAGCCTATACAAATGGACAAGCTCTTTGATAGATGGCTCACCCAATTCTACAATCATGTACACGATGTACAGACCGATAGAATGACATATGAATTTGTGGACAGTTGAAGAGGAACGATGTCGAACCACTTTAGCACGTTATCAATAAAACGAAGAGAGGGAAGGGATACCTCGCATCTCAAGAGGGTCTCAAAGGTTGCCACCCATACGGGCGGGGGGTTCTTTTGAGAATATGCCCCCGAAACCATCAGATTAAGCTGCGGCGCATAGGCCACTCTTATGCACTCTAGATCCTTGACTTTAAGCGAGGATTATGGCTCTCTTTGTAGCCTATGGATTGGAGATCGTGTGGGCTGACCTAGCTGTATTGAAGCACGATCAAAAAGGCCTGCCGCATTGGGGTCTAAGCTTCGCACGACGATCTCCTCTGAGACCTCAAGGATTGAATCCCCGAGGATAGTCGAGCCCGCGGGCGAATCGAACATGCGATCGATTGTGTGACTGTTAGAAGAAGACATGGTAATAGCTCACTTCTGGGTACCTAAAAAAGAAGCGAACATGTGTCAGAGCTCGAAAGATTCGGTGACCAATTCACACTTACTTCCAAATTAGACACCCAAGACAGCTCGCGCCACACCACGAAAGTGCATGACCTACTCAAGGTCCCAGCGGCCACCTCGTTAAACCTTCTTTAAACCTAAGACTGCCAAAGATGCACCCGAAAACCCTACACAAACCCTAAAACGCTCAATATGGCCACTACAGTGACCACCCTTTGGCTCGAAAACTAGAAAAACAGACAAAGAAAGGGAAAAGAACCTTATCAGAGTGAGAAAAACATAGAGGATCGCCAAAAAGAGCACTGTGATAACGATAAAAAGAGCTGCGGGATGCACAAGAGTGCTAGAAAACTTTCATGGACTGAATGAGGATTCTGATGACTTCGCCACCTTTTATAGTAGCTTGCATGGGAGACGAAAGGGCGAGATTTAATCACAGCTGTTAAGTTACAGTGAATCTCAACCCTTCATTCGTCGAGCAATCTCAGCCTTTAGACGTGGACACGTGTCGACCACCCACTGTTGGCAACAAACCATTAGATTGTTACACTGATAACTGTCGTTGCATGTCGCCTTAACTTCGCACGTGGACAACTGTAGTCTCGCACGAGCGATGAAACGTGACTAACAAAGGCTGCCTCGTTTAATGCGACATGATTGCATTGAAATTACATGTTTGCCCTAACTTTTGATATTCTGAGTTTGGCAGGTATCGTTGGAAGTAAACAACTGTGAAACATGTCGATCAGACATGAGCTCAACCCTATGAACTCGACCAAACCTACATCCGAGGACTAGTTATTAATGTCGAACTTGGAATCAAATCGAGCAATAGTCTTCGAAGCTCGAAACGAGATTTGAACACTAGGGGGAAGATGTTATGTGTGATTTTTTCACCAAGGTCGGGATATCACAAAGATATAGCTCAACCCGGTATAACTTCGCCACCTTTTATAGTAGCTTGCATGGGAGACGAAAGGGCGGGATTTAATCACAGCTGTTAAGTTGCAGTGAATCTCGACCCTTCATTCGTCGAGCAATCTCAGCCTTTAGACGTGGACATGTGTCGACCACCCACTGTTGGCAACAAACCGTTAGATTGTTACACTGATAACCGTCATTGCACGTCGCCTCAACTTCGCGCGTGGACAATTGTAATCTCGCACGAGCAATGAAACGTGACTAACAAAGGCTGCCGTATTTAATGCGACATGATTGCATTGAAATTACATGTTTGCCCTAACTTTTGATATTCTGAGTTTGGCAGGTATCGTTGGAAGTAAACAAGTGTGAAGCATGTCGATCAAACATGAGCTCAACCCTATGAGCTCGACCAAACCTGCATCTGAGGACCAATTATTAATGTCGAACTTGGAATCAAATCGAGCAATAGTCTTCGAAGCTCGAAACGAGCTTTGAACACTAGAGGGTAGATGTTGTGTGTGATTTTTTCACCAAGGTCGGGATATCACGAAGATATAGCTCGACTCGGTATCAGCTCAACTTCACCGGTTATCTGACGCATCATAAGCTCGTCGACATTCAGCTCGACCCAGCATAAGCTAGTAGCAAACAACCCGAATGATCACTCAATCAATTCCCAGATAACTTCAGATCCTAGATATAACGGGAGCGACTAGATCAACAACAATCTCTGCATAATCACAACGCCCAATCATGAGAATATTGGAATTGCATTTCGAATCAATTGTAATCCCTTTATTTTCGCTCTTTCATTTCTACAAATTTTGTCTATAAACCCCCTTCAATGATGGAAAAGGGTTACAAATTTTCATATAACTCCAATTGTAATCTCACAGCAAATACAAACACAGTGGACGTAAGCTCAAGAGTTTATCTCGCCGAACCACTTTAAAAATATCTTTGTTATTTACATTATTGCATTCATTATTTTTTTCATCACTGATTACCCGTAATCACACACATATCGGTTCCGATCCCACCAAGGTCGATCGGATCACTCTGGTTGGTGCAGATTTCTGTGTCAACAATACAATTTTAATTACATTTTAGAACTACACATATTAATATTTAAAAAAAAAAAAAAAATTGACTAGTTTTTAGCTAGGAATTAGATGAAGAATTATGAGCAAATATCACTCGATCATCATAAACTGAACAACATTATATATTATATAGAATGGCGCATGGTTGAAAGCATCCCCCAGTTTTGAGTTCAAGTTGTATCAAGGGTGGTTAATTATTATATCTAAAAATAAATAACTAAATAAAAGTTAATAAATTCTAATATTCTATTCCTTATCAAAACATAGGAGAATTAAAATAAATATTCAACTATACTGGGCAAAGTTTTACAAAGCATGTTACTTGGTAACTACAAGAACATATAAATTAATTAATTTGGTTATACAAAGAATCGATCCCTACATCTCTCTAATATGATCACTTGAATTTGAATATCATAATACAAAATCTACAACAATTCAAGGATATGGTTTCCCTTAAATTAATTCTTGAACACAAAAATTAAATTCAATAGTAGGGACTATAGCTAACATACTTATAATCATATCGGTTGTTTTTCTTAACGCAGCAACCAATTGCGAACATCATGCTCACAATCGCCACCACACACAGGTTGAATACACCCAAAAGTCTCCATTTTTGCCAAACCTCCCCAAGAACTCCTGCCTTGCATGACTTGCAATCGTAGCACAATGTCTGCTGCTGGTTGCTGAAGGTGGTGCAGTCGCTGTCGGGCACCTCTGGACCTCGTTTCGGCATCACCCAAAATGTTGCATTCTTAGCTTCTAACCCACAATACATTGGTGGCTTGCAGCAGCCCGACTGAAATTATTGGATAAAATAAATACTTTAAAGCAATATTTTAACCAAAAAAATCCGATAAATAAAGAAGAAAAGAAGTTACCTGTATTAAAGACCAATATTGGATATCTACATCATTAAGATTGTTACACGCCTTTGCATCGATCAAACAACTCTTAATTTGTTCCCAATTCCTCCCATCAACGTGATTTTCCAGCCACTGAGAGCAATCTTGAAGGCGGTTTGGGGATACCTTCCTAACCACAACCTTGTTTGTAACAACAAGTACAAAGATTGAGAAAACCATAAGCCCAACAAGCAAGAATAACATCATAAGTAAATACAAAAACATCACACTATTAGCCCTACAAAACGAGCCAATCAACCCCAGAAACGACACAACTACTAAGACAAGACCCGTTATCAGTAGCGGGACTTCTAGGGCTTTCTGGCAAACTGTGCCTCCATTAAATTGGATATAAGCTGCGTAAGAGACGGCGACGAACCCTAGTAGAAGAGAGAAGCAGTTTAAGCCTATGAAAACAAAGCTACTTAGACGAGCCATTGTATTGTGTTGTAATTGCTGTTATTTTTAACTTGGTTTGAAATTTTTTTATAGAAAAGGTGACGTGATTCACTGATTTATATGAAGATTCAATAAGTGAGGGATATTGGTTTTTTTCTGTTGAAATGAAAGGAAAAAGAAACCAAGAAAGTGAGTACCTTCCCTTTTTCTTCTGGATATGTAACTGCTTTTATACATATAGTATTAAGTTAAAAAGTTAGTAATTTTTGTCATTAGTTATACTAAGAGTGTAAAATATTAGTTTTGTTGTTTTGATAGAAAGATTACATTTAATTGAATTTATTATCATTTAATATTTGATAGAGAACCAATTACTATATGTATTTATGCGAGTAAACGACTTTTTCAGTTTTTCCCACCCAAGGTTTGCTTTAATGACATTTTTCCACTAAAAAAGTTTCAAAATACCACTTTCTCACCCAAAGCTCATATTCCATTAATATCCAAAATATACTTCACTTTCTTAGTCGGCCTTCGACGAGTTACTAGGAGTTAGAGTAAGAGGAGTTTTGTAGAGTAGAGATCGGTGGATCGAATGGTAGTGATCAATTGAATATTCGTCGTCAGAATCAACTAAAAATCAGCTAAGAACAGGAAATCTTAGCTTTACGGTGGCCGGCAATCGACGAGAAATCAAGTGCCAGAGTGAGAGAGGTTTTGTAGAGATGAGACTGAAAGTTCAAATGATAGTGACGGAGAGAATTTTAACCACTAGAATCGACCGAAGTCAGTTTTGATTAATAATGAAATATTAACTTTGGATGACCCGTCCAAATAATTATTGAAAATGTCAATTTAAGATGAAGAATAAATGTCCTCATATTGATTTTTGTTTTCTCTCTTTCTTATCCTTTTATTTGGTTCTTTAATATAATAAGAATTAAAAAAAATAAAAATAGTAGCATTGGATTAGGATGAGTGTTAACTAGTAACAGAAAGAACTGTGTGATTTCCGTTTAATAGTCCTGTGATTACTTATATATTAAGAATCAACTAGGAATTTAAACAATAAGCAGGAAATAATCTTCCCATATAGATATAAAAGATATTTTCTCATAGTTTGAATTATTGGTCGTCTCCCACGTACAATAGTTAATTAAAGAAACAAAAAATAATTATCTAAAATATAAGATTACTAGTTTTTGAAGCTAAAAAACCGTTCTATCTTATTATAGGTTGATCAATATTGTACTGATTTAATGTCACTCGTTTAATCACAGGTTGATCACTATTATTTTACTTTTATTTGGATTTTAAAGTTTCGGTTAATAGTGTACAGGTTTTCAGTACTATTGAACTGCTAATACCAACTTAACACAGTTTTAATCATGGCAATTAGGGCGTAGTTATGGATACAAAATATTTGAATAATTGAGTGGATTAACAGTTGGACTAAAAATTTTTATCAAATTTTTTATACCATTTTAAGGGATTAATCTATTAAGATTCAATAACCCTCCAAAGCTAGCATATGTTTGATTTATCAGAATATTAGAGTAAATGGCATTGATATCTCTAAATAAGAGAAAATCTACACTACCACCAGCAGGGTACCAAATCAGAATGCTAAGTTGGTACCTCAAGCCTCTCAAAACTTGACATTTGTCCGTTTAGCTTAAATTAATAAATGATATGATAAATTAATTAAAAAAAAAAAAAAAAAAAAAGGACCATAGTAAAATAAAACATAAGACTAAAATTAAATAAATCAAATCGTCGTTCCTCTTGTTTCCAGCAAACTAAAAATAAAATAAAACCAAATCAATTGAGAATGCATATCTGCTGCCTGAGATTTCGATGCTGGAGCTAAAAAATGAGAGTTGTTAATTCACTCGTCGGATTTTGTGGTGGTGGAGAGGTGGCGACAATGAAAATTGTAAACACGGTCGGGAAAAATTCTCTATTTAATAAGAGCAAATCTGGAGGTTAAGGTTAACCATTTTAGCATTCCATATTTGGATGTTTCCGTTTATATATATAGATTTTAAAGCCTCAAGATGTCTCCACACCCAGATGTATCAGACTAATTCCTAATCGGGACTCGGATAAATACCTTTAGCCACTAGGTGCTTCCAGTGATTTCTTTACTTTAATAGAATTTGTCTTAATAAAATTTGTGTCTAGGATTCAATTGATTCGTTATGCTTTTCATTAAAGAAATATAAAATAAAACGGTTTAGGTAAAATTTAATTCTAAAACTAATCAAATCTACAAAGATTTCACCGTAATCTTTTTCTCTAGAATTCAGTTCTTCTTTTTTGTATGAACACAGCAATAATAACCGGGCGATGAAAAAAATAAAAAAGCAGAGGTCGACTTTAGCCCGCATTCTCAAGTCTTTCCTGACAAATTTGGGAACGTCAGCCTTGCATGAATTGCAGTCATATCATAACGTCTCTTGCTCAGTTGCTTGTTCCTCCATTTGCAGTATTCTCTGTCATACATGGCTGCAGCAACACTGGCACTGTAATGTTAGATTACCGTTTTACTTCAGATGTTTGACATTAATATTTAAGTTTAATAATCCCTTATTTTTTATCCAATTGAAATGTGACAATTTGAACTTATGAAAGTGTCGTTTACTTATTAAAACCCCTACTAAAATTGGGCGTTTGCAGCAGCCCAGCAAAAACAGAGATTTTAATACACAATGATATATAATAAGATATGTTAACTTGTTGAAAATCCTCAACCTCGTTAACGCTAATTTGATTGAAATTTTACTCGGTGGTAAGTTAACAGGTATTGTCAAAATTTTATATTTTTGTCATCTCCAATGATATAAAATTTGGTCATAACAAAAAATGTCTAACACTTGAATAGCCTAATACAAATCTACAACTATTCATGGATATAGTTTCCCTTAAATTAACTCTTGAACACTAATAACTTCGATGGTAGGGACTATATCTAGTGTACTTATCATATATATTGTTATTCTTAATGCAATAACCAATGGAGAACATCATGCTCACGATGGTCACCACACAGATATTGAATACAGCCAAAAGTCTCCACATTTGCCTAACTTCCGCAAGCACTCCTCTCTTGCAGGATTGGCAGTCATAGCAAAGCGTCTTCTGGTGGTTACTGAAGGTGGTGCGGTGCAGTCACTGTCTTGAACTTTTGGACCTCCCTCTGGCATCACCCAGAATGTCGCGTTCTTAGCTTCTAACCCATATACATAGGTGGCTTGCAACAGCCCGACTGTGTTAAAGACCAATCCTTGATATCTACATCATTAAGAATGTCGCACGCCTTTGCATCGATCAAACAACTCTTAATCTGTTCCCAATTCCTCCAATTAACGTGATTTTGCAGCCATTGAGAGTAATCTTGTAGCTGGTTTGGTAATACTCTCGCACCCACAACCTTGTTTGTAACAACAAGTACAACGATTGGGAAAACTATAAGCCCAACTGTCAAGAAGAACATCATAAGTAAATACAAAAACCATACACACCATTAGCCCTACAACACGAGCCAATCAACCCCAGCAACAACACAACTACCAAGACAAGACCCGTCATCAGTAGCGGGACTTCTAGGGCTTTTTGGAAAATTGTGCCACCATTAAATTGAATATAAGCTGCACAAGAGACTGCAACGAATCCTAATATAAGAGAGAAGCAATTTAGGGTTATGAAAACAACGCTGGTTAAGCGAGCCATTATATTGTATTGTATTGTATTGTAATAAAAAATGATAATAATAATTAAATAAATTTTTATTTATTTTTTGTAGTGAAAACGTAGATGTGACTTACTGATTTATATGGAGATTCAATAACTAAGAAATATTTGTTTTTGCTGTTAAAATGAAAGGAAGAACAAACCAAGAAAGTGAGTATCTTCCCTTTTTCTTTTGGGTTTGTAACGGCTTGTGTACATGTTCTAAGTTCAGAGAGTTAACGGAAGTTGGTATTTTTTGTCATTAGTTATACAAGGAGATTTTGATCGAAAGATTACATTGATTGAGATTTATTGTTATGTTTTTGTTGGTATCAGTTTTATATGATAATGTTGATATCAAACTCCTACGTAAGTTAAGAAACGAGGATCTTAGTCGCTTATATAGTATAAGAATACTTTAAAAAACCCAAAGACACCTTTTTTGGACGAAACCGTGTGGCCCAAGGCGCAAAGTGGATAATACTTTTGGAAGTGTCTGGATTCGACATACATTAACATTTGGTGTTAGAAGGAGACCTTAGGTTTACCCAGGCTAAGTATGTCGGTTTGTACCCATGCCAAATCTCCCTAGCCTCTCGTCTAGGGGACTGTGTTGATGTCAAACTCCCACATCCACTAGAAGACGAGAGTTTTGATCGCTTATATAGCATAAGGACATCCTTAGAAACACAGAAACATTTTTTTATGACAAATGAAAAAGAACCATATATATATAATTATTGAAAAATTCAATTTATCATAAAGAAAAGATGCTCTCACACTGATTTTTTTTTTTCCCTCTTTTGTATCCTTTTATTTGGTTCTTTATTATAGTAAGAATCAAATAACAAAAAAAGTAGCATTGAATGAAGAAGTATGTAAATTTTCTTCCGGACTTTTCTGGATATCCCCTTGGATTTATTTATTTGTACAATACGCTACTATTCTTTTCTTGAATAACTATTTTATAAAAGTTATTATTTTTGTTTTGATCTAGTGTCACTCGTTTAATCCATATTATAAAGTTTTTATTTGATTTGTTTGAATAACAAATATTTAACCTAAAAATTTTATTAAGAAAAGCTTGATAAATTCTTAATAGAAAGTTATGCGTGTAGATTTCAGTTTAACAGTTTGAATTTAACACTTATTAGCTAACCTTTTTTTATTTTATTATTATTATATTTTGTTAAGAATCAACGAAAAACTTAAACAATAAGCAGAAAATAATATGCATATATATGTATATATATATATATATATATATATAGAAGATATTTCTCAAAAAACATTGCCCATGGTTCGTA